CCCTGGCGCATGTACTCAAAATGATTAAGATTTTCTTCGATGGAGCGATTGCGCCACGGGCTTTCCTCTCGACTCTCGCGCTGCTTCTTAATTTCATCCGCGGTGGAGTGGTCCACATATGCCTTGCCAGTCTTAATAAGTTGAATCGCAAAATCGTAAAGTTGCTGGAAATAATCCGAAGAAAATGTGATCCAGTCCGGCTTCCACCCCATCCAGCGCACCATTTCCTGGATGGCGTCGATGTACACCTGCTCCTCCGTCTCGGGGTTTGTGTCATCGTAGCGCAGATAACACTTGCCACCATGCGCCACGGCACAGCCAAAGTTCAGGTTCATACTCTTCGCATGGCCAATGTGGAGAAAGCCGTTGGGCTCCGGCGGGAAGCGGAAGTAGGGCTTCCCTCCCGTCAAGGCATGATGCTTTTCCAGCAGCTCCGGTGTGTTGGAGTACCCCGCCACCGGCCGCCCTGTCTGCAGCAGGCGAAGATCCTTTTTTACCTCCAAGAAGGGCACAGCCGTGGAGGCAGCAGTCGTGGATGGGGCTGTCATTTTCCTCCACAGCAACAACGTGAGGGGGCGAAACGTTCTTCGGGGTGTCGAGTTATTGTTGAATAGACGCTACGTGTCAGGGAACCAATGTGGGAAAGAAGAAAGAAAGAAAAGAAAGGAAATTCAAACAACAGACACAGACACAGAAAAACCACACACCTGAGTTCTCTGTCTCCCTCCTTGTTAGGTGGAAAACAAAATAAAAGCACCGTGAAGCAGACATTTAAAGCTCCATAAATTTCCCGCTGTGTTCCCCTCCCATAAATGCTTGTCCCACACCCTTGACGGATATCGAGATAATATCAATGCCCCATGGTGTCCACAAACGTTAGAGCAAATTCAGACGCACCACCTCCATCATCTGTATTTTGTAGCCTCTATTGGCAATGTTGTTGTTTTAGCTGCTGCTGCTGCTCCTGCCAATGCAATTACTCTTCTTGAATTCTATGGATTTTTATAAAATAGTCATAAATAATAACAATATATAAATAAATAAATATATCAAGCCCCCCTGGCCTTCATAAATAGCCCTCTTTATTATACGTGTTTTTTTTTTTCTTTTTTCGTTATCGTCCGCCCTCCTCTTATTTCACCACCGCACCGAATCCCTCCTTCGTTTTTTCTCCCTTCCCATCCCGCCCTTCGATCGTCGTGTGCGTCTCGTGGCGGTCAAGAAAAAAAAAAAAAAAAGGCTCCTCACATCACGTCATCCATCTTTGGGGCAAGGAAGTAGCGCAGGTAGCCCACTTGATCGATATTGAACTCCACCATGCACGGGCTGTCTGGAGCAAACTTCAGCGACACACGGTCGCTCAGCGTAGATCCCTTCGCAAAGACGTTCATGAAACGCAGCGCAAAGGAGAGAGTAACAGGCTCGTCCGTCCGCACCTCGACCCCAATGGCCGTGTGGCTATTCTTCGTGCCTGATGCGTTGGCGCGGCTGATGGGTGTATCGTCGTCCTCTTCCTTCTTCACCTCCGGCGCGGTCCTCACCGTGCGCCCCGCTCCTCCAGCGGCGCGCAGGAAGGCGTAGCCCTCGCCCACATCGCCGGAGGAGCTGAATTTCACACCCTCCTTTCGAATCTCAATTGTGACTGTCTCGCCAAAGACGCTCATGTCACGAACGATTTTGGCAAACTCCTGGGAACTGAGAGTCACCGTTGAGCCGTACTCCATCTCCGGAATTCCCATAGCCTCCCCCTCAATCTCCAGCAGTTTCAGTTGGTACTCACACTTGCGGGACTTCTCAACATTTTCCGAGGTCAACACAACGACATCAGAATCATCCTCGTGGTGCAGCGTCAAACTGTCTGAGCCCTCAACAATCTTCAGCACCTTTGAAAGAGAGGCGAGATTGAGGCCAAGAATACTGTTCCGCTCACACTGGTACTTGGTGAAGCAGTCGTCACGGAGGAGGAGATGGACAAGGGCGACGTGACTGGTGTCCATGGCTTGAATGGAGAGGCCACCAGGATTGCAGTCAAAGTTCGCCTCATTCACAAGCCCACTGATGCATTCAATCAGCCGCTTCCACAAGTTTGCCTGTTGAACTTGAGCCTCCAGCATGATCAAATGATAATCTTCTTCGCGGGTTCTGTCGTTTCACTTTATTATATCCCTTCTTGTGTTTCCTCTCGTTTTCTATTCTTAGTTATGTTTAACCGCCTGCTGCGTTTACCGCGTACTGGGCGAATGGAAAGAAAGAAGGCATGGTAAGAGTAAAAGGAGAATTGGACGAAAAAACATGCGTAAAAACAACAACAATAACAACAGAGGACACAACAACAACAACGCGAATATTCACCTGAATGAGGCCCAGCTCCCCTCCTATTCCTACAAAGAGACAAAACACAAAGAAGACCACAAGTTGGTTCAATGCACCCGACATCCCCCACAACTCGGAGGGGATTCAGACAACACTCAATACGCCCATCAACAAACAGATGCAAAACACACCTGCCGCGATAACCGGGCATGCCGCAATATCACAAATTGGCATCCTTTCGCGCCCCACAACCGCCGGACTCCCCTGTGCAGAGGGCAATTGCAGTATTATTGTTATTATTATTATTATTATTGGTAATGGGATGGACAAAGAACTCACACCCCCTACTTCTCTTCAGAAAAAAGAAGTCCAGCGGCATCCTCGCGCACCAACAATGGGCAAACACGCATAGCCGTATATTCTTCCCAAAACGACTCGACAGATGTGCAGGTCTCGTCGCCGAACACCAGGGCAAATACGGCATCGTAACCCCCCGCCCCGGGACATCCCACGGCAAAAACACCAGGAATTGCGCAGGTGGCATCAAGCAAGGCGGTCAACTTATTCGGCTCAATCTCCACAGAAGCAGCCTGGCCCATTTCACGCAAATAACGTCGACTCTTCGAGGCGTAGGTCGCCGCCTCCACCCAAAGTCGTTCGGCATCGTTTTGGGGAATATGCTGAGCAAGCACAACATGCTTCAAGACATCGACTGAGTTCACATGTTCCACTGTCTTTTCTTCAGCCTGTAGAATCAGCGCCTTTAGTGATGCCACGTACTTCTCATTGTTTTCTCGGAGTTGTTCCCATAGATTATATGGATTGTCGGCAACAGAATTCCGCCATGCCATTACCTTGGAAACCATTCCTGGCGTGCCTGAACCACCCTGGTGCACATCTCCCAACAGCAGCTTCAGCCCAAGGGGAAGATGAAAAGGAACGCGCTTCACCCACTCCTTCTCCATATTTACACAGTCCGCAAGCGTTGACACTACCACGTTCGAGGGAGACTCGTTGGTACTCATAACACTCTCAACAAATTTTGCCGGAAAGCGGCGGTACGCACAGGTTCCGTATGCCGCTGTGTAAACGTCGAAACCACTTCCAATTTTTCCCTGAGCCACACTATGAGCTACTTGAGCAACGCGGTGCACAATCTCCTTCTCCGCTGAAGTGTCTGTTTTTGCCGCGTTATTATTTTTATTGTTATCACTGGTGCTTTGGGCGGTAAGCGAACGGTATAGACATGCCACCATGCTGGTTGTCATTGCAGCCGAGGAACCCAGTCCGGTCTTGGATACATCACCAACGAGAGGCAGGTGTGGGGGAAGCAAACGTAAGTTGGCCGCGGTAACTTCCTTTCCCTGTGACTCCAAGTAGTTTCTTTGACTGTAAAAGTCGTTATCAGCAAGAAGCTCCAATGTTAACTCCTTGAAAACATTTCCACCCTGCGAAATTGCCGCAGCCACGGTATACAAGACGCTGTAGCGTAAGAAGGGGGAATGAGTTCCCTCTATCTGAGCCACACAGACGGCGGTCTCTGGCGTGCTCTCGACCGTGCACTCAAACGCAAACTCCTTGCCAAACTGGGGCGAATGGATGCGCACACAACACTTCCCCTTGGCTGCATCCCGCGTCTTCAGTAGCCGTGTTTCAAACCGCGCGGTTGTGCCGACGGAGATCCCAACATTAGGGGCCTCAACGATGAGGTAGCCACCAAGGATGAGAACTTTGCCAGAAGAAGACGCCCTCGTAGTCGCAATAGCAGTATCCATTGACGGCGGCAAAAACAAATGACAGTTGCAACGTCGAGAAACAAAACAGAAGGATTTTGCCTCCAACACGGATGGGGAATGTAAAATAAAGCCTCTGACAAAGCCACAGAAACCGATAATGAGATGTAAACGCGCAAATACGGATGTTTACTAACACGCGAGCACAAATGGCTGTTGGCGTCGCACAAACGCCGCAGTGGAAAAAACGGGGAAGGGGGTGAGAAAGGGAGAAGAAAAAAAAGAAAATTCAAAAGAAAGAAAAAGCAAATTTGAGAGGAAAAAAAAAAAATGCAACAGCCATCCGTGACGCGTACCGCAAGTTTATTCGTGAAAAATCGCCCAGAAAAACAAACAAACAAGCAGAAGAGGTGTTGACTTCCAGAGAGAAAAAGTCCATATCGTTCAATTTGCACACCTCGCACTAACGAAATCCCCCAACGCCCGATCTCTCCTCCCCTGGTGGCGGGAGCCCAATGGCCCTAAAAAGCTCCGGGTCGACTGTGACTTGTCGCTTTTTGCGCAGCTTCTCTGCCGTTGCGTGGGCGTCTGACGCCTGGGCGGCCTCAATCTTCTCGCCCATCTCTGTGACGGCTCCCGCGGCGACGTTGGCCCGGTGAAGGCGCCACAGGTAGTACATGCTGAGCAGTGCGCATGTTCCCGCAGAAAAGAAGAAGACAATGAAGAACACATACCCCCCTCTGCTCACACAACACCATTCGGCACAGTCCGTGATGCCTGCGTCCAGCAGCTTACACATGCCCTCCGCCAAGCACGGATCACGTGCGCAGTCAGCACGCAAAGAACGATATCCAGTGCATTCAGCGACACACTGAGTTGCCATCAACTAAATGGGCACAATCACCGTTTCTATTTTTTTTTTCCTTTCTTTTGGGCTTCAAATTCTCCTCTGTTTGCTTGCCGCCGCGCAAGAAAAATGAGGGGGAAAAAATAAGTCCTTTTCAACAAACAAAAAATCAAAAAGAAAAAAAAAAAAAAAAAGGAAAGAAAGGCACAGATATGCCGCCGCGGGTAGAAAAAAAGAAAGCATCGACAGTTAAGTACGACTGCAGCACGTGAACGCAGCGCAACAACAAAAAGCACCAGCAAAAAGTTTCGTATAAAAACGAGTAATTTATTTAATTCGTTTAGCAGCGACGCCCATTTCTCGAGGGGCCTTCATTCTTGTGCCGCTCCGTCAATGAGGGCCTTTTTCTTTTCCTTTTTTTTTTTCTTCTTCCTCTTCATGTCTTTTCTTCTCCATCTGTCCATTTTTTCTTTTATTTTCTTCCCTCCCTTTTATCCGCCCCTCAAGTTCACAGTTTAACGGCAATCATTAAATGTAAACATATGTTTTTTTTTTTTTTTTTGGGGGGGGGGGAAAGAGGGGTGGGTGGG